TCAATATTTGTTTTAATGATCAAGTCATTGCCTTAATTTCTGGACATATTGATGAAAACACACGAAAGTAGAGAGGATCGATCGCAATTATTGATTGTCTCATGTTTTTTTTATTTATTTTTTCTTGGTTTAAAAGGTTTATTCATTGGTAATTAGAATACGGTAGAAAATTTACTAACCAACAATATAGAACAAATGTTTGTATGACATGAAATGTGTACATAGTGTTATGGTGTACGTTTCTTGTTGTTGTTGTTGTTGTTGCGAAAACAACATAAAGAATTCGACAATGCTTCTTGTGATTGATTAACATTAATTGAAGATTTGACGTTCTTGAGTTACATCCCTCCTATATGAGGAAGGATGAAATAGTTGTCTATTGCTATCTATTTTTCAATGCTATCTCCAATCACAATATGAGCCAATGACATCGATCATTTTCACACTGAAATAAGTTCCAAATGATCTATTGGAAAATCATTCAGTAATTTTTAGTTATTCGAAGTAGAATGATTGACGATATATTACTTAATTATATGCAGTTCAAATGTGTTATCAATAAGTCCCTATGGAATTTCTACTAAGTATCATGAGAAAATACCTAAAACTCCTTTGTTGATGAACTTTGAAAATCAAAGTATTTTATATGCTTTCATATTTTCATACATAATGATTGATATACCTCTGAAAAAAAATTAATTTTTCTCCTATTAAGTAGATTAACATTTTGAAGTTGATTCTCATATTACTAACTGGCTTCACTAAAACTGGAAGATTTTCCTTTCAATTTATTGTGATTAGGTCATGGGAATTGTTCAACTAAGAACCCAATACTCTCTATTATTCAAAAGTCCTGTAGTTGCTGTCATCTCGTGACTAATACTACATCCTAAACTATACGAGATCTCCATAAAAGTGTTTGATACTCATCAAAAAGTAACGTCAAGATGATTTTTTTTGCCTAAATTCTATTCAGAAAACATGATGCACTGGGGTTCCATCATGTCGAGAGTTAGACACAACAACTTATCAAAGATTATTATTTTGCAAGGATTCACAAGTAGTATTAGGTGGTTGCAGGCAGTCTACAGGAAAACATGAATTTATGTCTCGTGCTAGTTGACACTTGTCAGTAATGCGTGCCTTCAACTTTGAGAATAGTAGTTTTTTTCCTCTCAGCTTTAAATCCCCGTCAATCAGTTTTACAGTGTGAGACGTAACTGATTTAGTAACCAGATTGTGATTGACATCTTGTATGACCGAGGCATTTACATTTATTGACCTCTGAGTAATGACCAATATCAGTTGTGCCTAATTCTTCACTGTTGCTCGACTATGAAGCTGAATGATGTATGTTTTGAATCTCATAGGAAGTACTAATCCCCTTAATGTTCCCCGGTACATATTCCTAAGGAATGACAACTAATAACAGAACTGAGGTCGAGTAGAGTTACCTTTTACCAATTAACACCAACCGTTTAGCATTTCATCATAGTGCACACGATATTGAATCGGACAGGCTAGTAAGTCACCTTGGAACTTAATCGATAGAATTTGATCAACAGCACTAAGTGACTAGAAAAACTTGTTATTAGTTATTACTCAATCAGTTGTGGTAGGATACAAGTTTTTTAATAGTCATTGATCTGAAATGATTCACCAGAACTGACATGTAATAATCTATCATTTAACTATTTATGATGTATATTCACAACGAAATGTTTTGTGCATATATCTATTTTTTCTGTGAATAAAACTTATCTTCTTTCTTAAATTGATTACTTCGTACTGTTTACCTATCTTCTTTGTTTTTCCGGTAAATTTATATGTTGTTTTCTTTTTCTGCCTTTCCCTCCTACTGTTTAATTGACAATTGATCTATTACTTATTTATTGGTTGTTAGTATTTCTTCTCTACCATCTTTCTCTCTTAGTAACCTCATTTCTAGATGAATTATGGACGAATGCAAATTAAATTCACTACTACTTATTATTCATTACGTGTATTACTGGCTACTACTAATACTACTACTGCATTGCCACTACTGATAAGGGCCGAACAATTTTTGATTTTCTTTATCAGTGCCTCTGTAAAATTATCGATTAATAAAGATTAAAAAATTTATTTATTGACTGGTCTGTGTTGGAATTGACCTATTCTGTTGTTGTTGTCATTGTCAGTATTCTCTCTTCTGACCTATCCCTCTTGATTATCATTATCATGAATTATCTATTATACATTTGACATCATCAATCAATCATTGTTAGACCACCATTAGAAACCTGGAAGCACTAGACGACCGTTTCGTCCTGGTATGGGACTCATCAGCAGTGCGCAGCCACGACTCCTGTACCTCACAGGATTCGAACCCGGGACCTTTGGTCTCGCACGCGAGCGCCTAAGCTCTGGACTGATCGATGATGTCAAATGTATAAAAACAATAATCTTTATAACTCTAATTGAAAAAATTATCTATTAATATGAAATAAGTTCATCTTTTTTTAATTACGATTAGTCTAATTATTCTTCAACGATGACAGCTACATTTTGAAGATAGTGTCGTAAATGTAGAACTACGCAATATGATGATGTAGAGAACCTTATTCCTTTTATTGTTTCATTAAAATAACATTCTATAGTTGTAATAATTATTGTTTATTAAACAAAAAAGTCGTCAATGTGTCATTTTCATCATTGCTATCACCAGCATTAACAAAACAGTTGAGTTTAACGTCTCATTTTTAATCTAATCCTACTGACAATCTAGGATTTGCGTCACTGGTAATCATGATTACTAGGGCGGAGGGAATGGATTCTTTCTTTGAGTATATTAACTTTTTTTGCTATGATGAAAAAGATGAACGTCTTTTTTTTTTAAAAAAAACTTAAAGTATTGATAGTAGTAAGTTAGTTATTCAGGGATTGACTATAACTACTATAAAACAATCAGTATTAAGCCAATGAAATCAGTTATTGTCAGAAGGGAGATTAAAAGTAGGTAACAGTATCGTTGCCAATGTATGATGATTGTTGTGCAACATTGTTAAATTAGTAATTGTTCGCTAATGTGAAGGTAAAAAAAAATCTGTTTGACTGTGTGAACTTTATCAGGGTTCAGAGTTAGTGTTACATTTTGTGATTGCATACAGTAATTACTAATCGCAAATGCTTGAGATGATCTGCTCATATAAAACTGGATCGATACAAGCTTATTAGACTGAATAACTAATGCAGTGCTTCGAATGTTATTGAAGTTAACCTTACACGAAAAAGCTATCTTTTGTATTGACCTGATGTCCTCCTAGATGTCAGGAAAACAAGAAATTTGTCGCTAACCGCGGTAATCGATTAATTGTAAATATCTCAATCTTAAATAAGAACAGTTGGGGACTGAATAGCATATAGTATTAGCGTTGCTGATTATGTTGCAATGAGTTGTAGTGGAGCTCATATTTCTACTAAAACAGTTCTACATTCAATCTAAATTCGGTACAATCACACACGTACATTTATTTCTGACAAGTCTTATTTACGTAGTGTTAATGTTTGGAATTAAAAACATCAAGAATACTATCATATTTTTATTTAAAACATGGCCTCAAAGATTGTTAAATCATAATCGATAAATTCTTTTCATATTTCTTACTTAATACATTTTAATAAAGATGATTATACCAAAAAAATTCGTGATAAACACGGACACACACATTGAAATTTCTACTGCCTAATTAGTTGATAATAGAAGCAATATCATTAGTTGGATTTATCTTTTTTTTTTTTACAAAGATGAATTCAAAATATTATTACTACTATTGTGTAATTATTATCACTATTAATTGTTAGATGATTATCACTGATAGGTATATATATTTTACTGTCATTATTTAAAAAATTGATTTTCATCATGTGTGAAATTATCTAGTTTCAGTTGCTGTCAATTGAACAGCAATAGTACATAGATAGATACGTGAAAAACTCTTGCCATATAAATCAGTAGTCGGTCTTTAATTCTCAAACACCGATTCATCTAATTCGATTTGCTTAGAGAACATCTGGATAGGAAGTATATCGTTAGAGTTCGTGCAATTTATGTTGGCTCATAGTCCAGTTTCGGTGAAATTAACTTAAGATATTTGAATCACACGCACACACACATATAAATACAAATACTACTTTTAAGTGTAAATAAAACTTACAGTTGATTAATCAATAGTCAGTGTTTAGTGTCATGTTTCTCTGGTTGGTTAGTGCTGCTGATCGAATTCTGTCGATCAAGTTGCAGTTTGAATGATCAAAACCAGTTTTCAGGAAACCCTGTACACTTATGCAGAAACTTTTGCTCCCTGTGGGATTCAAATCCCTGTCACTTAATCTCACTGCATCGGCACCTGAACTAGTGATAGGGAGTGAAGTAGTCGAGCGTGTAGACCGCTTCACTTATCTGGGGGGTCTCATCAGTGCCCGGATACAGAAGGCTCGATTTGCTTTTGCCAACCTGCGTCACTTATGGCGTAGGCGTGATATCCGTTCTCTAACCAAAGGACGAGTGTACTGTGCAGCAGTTCGCTCCGATTAAATCTAGCTATATGTATGAACGAATTTCTATCAATAAATAATTATTCTAAGCTCCAGAAAGTCATTCATCATCTTAGTGAATCATATTCATGTTAGCTCACCACTTATTCTCAATGGATGTCATATCGTCGATTGTTTAAAATAAATTGGTTTGAATATCATTAGTAGCGAGTGGGTTATCAACCTGTACTTTCATCCAATCAAAGCGGAATGCACATTCTGTTGCTAGCTCTTAACCCATAAATAAAAGACACTTTTAAACTTAGTAAATATTACGAAGATTCATATACACGAATATAAACGGTCTAATTGATTCGGTCTTGTTTCATTGTCAATAATGTCAAAGAAAAACTGTTACAATTACTAGTGTATCTTAATTAGAGCATGCATCACAGTTTTTTTCTTTATTTTCTTTTTCATTTCAGGAACGTGATTTAAAACAATATTTACACGATTGTCATGGAATTATGCATTCAGATAATGTTCAATTATTTCTATACCAATTATTACGTGGTTTAGCTTACTGTCATGAACGTCGTATACTGCATCGAGATTTAAAGCCACAAAATTTATTGATCAATAGTAGAGGTGATTTAAAACTGGCTGATTTTGGTTTAGCTCGAGCTAAATCAATTCCAATTAAAACTTATTCTAATGAAGTTGTTACTTTATGGTAAGTTAATTTTATATATATGTATGTGTTTACATGAAGGTGTTGCATATTACTAATAAAATTAAATAAGTATACATTATTATGTATTCATTGATGATATTGTAGACAATGTTATTGTTAAAGGCTATTTGACTAGATGCTACCACTGTGACAAACATTTTTTGCTAATCTTTATTGTTGGTATTGTGCAATAACCATTCATTTAAACGTTTCTAGAAATATTTATCACCCTGATCTTTTAAGTTCTATGTAGGTGGTAGTAGACCGTTCATCATGGAACATTTTCTTCTTATGTTGGAAAACATCTCCTAACATATAGTTCAGTTTGGAAAATCTATGAACTAATCTCTTTGACAATGTTATAACAGTTAACACTTGTAATTTGTTTGTGAATCAGATAGATTATCTGATATTTGTTCGACAATCTATCGAAATATACACTCTCTTAATTATCCTTTTCATTGTATTCTAACAGTAATTATATAGTCATTTATCATGTATAAACTTCATCATCATCATCATCATCAGTATATAGAAATAGTTTTGTACAATAAATTCTTATCATTACTATATCTCTAAATGGTATGCATCACTGTTTAAATGTATATAATTTTTTTCCAATGAACCTAACTTATCATCAATAGAATAGATATTGATCCAGTCACACATCATTTCTATCTTACCGATCCAATAATTTGAAATGTTGATTTTTTTTTTACCTCTACTTCAATCGTCGTCTCCTGTCAAAGGAATGATTAAATTAAATTTTTTTTTTGAAAGTTTGTTTTCATCTTTTTCACCCTTGAAAATATTATCACATGAATTGATTGATCATTTCAATCATTAAAAATGAATAATATTTTCTTTTATTGATCATTATTTTTTCTGATAACTGATCGGTATAATCAAAGAGTAAGTTTTGCAGATAAGATGGTAATTTGTATTCTTCATGTCTATATTATTATGATTATTATTACCATTGAAAAATACCAAGAAGTACTGAATTATCATTGTTGTTGTGTGTTTGTGTGTGTGTGTTTATGTACCTGTAGAAGATACCTGTTAACCCGGTGTATTGATTTTTATGATTATCATGTTTATGTATATATATATATATATATATATATATATATATATATATATATATATCACTGCACACATTATATGATGTTGATATACTCATCAGCAATTCGACTGTATTTATACAAAGAGAAAAGAAATCCTTACTTAAGATATGTGTTACGCCTATTGAATTGCCATCTATATTGACATACGATCTATGCCTATTGGTTGTAGAACAATAGATTGAACGAAAGATAGGAGTGGTCAAACCAAAACCAAAATCTGAGCTATATCGGTAGGTACAGACTACGTGACAATGATCTGTGCGATTATTTTAACCATTGGTTGAAGATGTTAATTGACACTGGGGCTAATACATGCATCTCAATATTCTCTCATAAATGTTTTCACATTTATGTGGCAGATGAATTCACTACAGTCTACCGCGGGTGGAGCAGATAGAGTTAATGCCAGTCTACTCCAGTATAATTGTGCTGCCTGCCATGTTCGAAAGCTTGTTTATGGAACCAAAAACACTGATGAGCATCAGTTTGTACTCTTAGTCTGAGATGTTGTAGCTTCTCCCATGTATACTTTATGCGCACATATAGTACAAATATTTCAGAGAAATATGTATGCCAGTGACATGCACATAGGCATAGATGGGTGCGGTCGCTAGCTAGTATATGTTATATGCAAATGCAAAATTTTCAGACTGCCTACCCATTCTGTAAGCGCTTATAGACATAGAAGTTTCCACACGTAAGTATACGTTGTATTCCCAATTAAAGTGGATTGACCAGAGTCAATACATTCTTATCAGTACATAGGCATAGATGCGTTTACTCCAGGCCGTAGCCTAGTGGTATTAGTTGCATTGAATAATTATCAAGTAGCCTAACCAGTTTAGCAAATAAATAGTACATTGGCGATATTCTCCTTTACGCTCATACCATAAAAGTGTAGCATCGACCTCTGTATACTGGTTACGGCACAGTTTATGGTCACCGCTCTGGCCCACTTCAGTCAAACCTAATGTTTCTATCTGAGCAGTCCAAATATTCCCAAAAGAAAGTTCCTCTAGCAATGCTGTGGGGGATTAACCGATGTCCTCTAGGGAGATTACGTTAGCTCACGGGGGCTAGCCCCTGCTACCCAGGGAGCACTGAGTGGTTGTTCAAGTCGATCCCCCCCTACTCATTGGCTACAATACATTTAGTAAATATTGTAAATATAAAACACCTGCTCAATCAACCAGAATGATAAATTAGTCTACTGATTAATTGGTTGACTTTGTTATACGATTTTCATTTTCTCCATAATTCAATTTTCTTAAGAATAAATGCTGGATTACGAAGATTTTTCTGCGAAAAACGAAGAAATAATTTTTCAGGAAAGAAAACGAAATACTATTAGTGCTAATTTTCTTCATGAATATGAAAATTCTTACTACTGTGCTGTAACAAATATAATTCTACAACATAACATTTATAACTCATCAGTAGCATGCATATGTAATTCGTTAAACAATACCACTGATAAATTACAGTAATTGTTCATTGTGTTTTGTACCACAGAGCAATGATTAAGTTTCAAGGTGATCTAAAATTGTCGATCAAGTGAAGGTATATATTGTTGCCCCCAAATTAGGTATCCACCACCACAAAATATATATGCAGTACGTGTTGAAAATATTTCCAAAAAATTTATTTATTTGGAATGACCACTTAATGATTATATCAGTTGACTTTCAGCAAGTAGATCCTAGGTTCAAATCTCATTCTATCTATACTACTTTGAGAAAACAATATAATTCAAAGTCACACTAGATCTCCAGTCATAGTAACTTTATTCTCGTGTTATTTCCTTCCATCCTAAAGACTCTAAAAAATCGATCATTTTTTAGGAGGGAAGTAAGTAGCACTGAGACGATATGTGAAAACATTAAAATGTCAAACTGTAAACCATGAATATGTTGAACAGTACAAACGCAGATAGAAGCAAATTTATTATCATAAAATAGGAATATTTTAAAAATAATACAATTGATATAGTTGATTTAAATTTTGTAAAAGAAAGTTTTTACCACGTAGTTCACGTATTGGTTAAACAGAGACACTAACACATATAAGTTCCTTCAAATTTCTTTTTTTTCTGTTCAATGTCAGTCAGTTTCAACGTAGAACTTCGTACGTATGTACATAAGTTCAGGTTGCCATACCACATTAGCACAGAGACGCAAATGTCAAATCAAATTTCATAGTGATAGAGATAGTAGGGGTATTAATGGTAATGAAGAAGACTAGGGTTTGAAGAAATTATTCAAGAAGTATAATTCAGTGAGAAAGACGAAGGTAGAGGTGTTGACGAATCCAGAAGATTAGGATTTGAGAGAGCACAACGAATGGATGCACTTGCGTGATTGCAAACGATTCTGAGCCATGTCGTTCAAGGTCTCTAACCATTGGTGACTTTCGTCTCGCTGACCCCAACCAGGTAGCCTACATCTACTAACATGACTCAGTCCACTTGTCAGTTACTTCATGGATTTGTTCCATGTTTTTTTTTCTGGCCGCCTCTAACTTTCTTCCAACCTACTCCTACACCACAAAACATAGCTCGTTGAGGCAGTCGGTGGTTAGGCATTCGTAACACATGTCCCAACCACCTCAACTGATGAAGTTACACCACTCCATCTATTGATCTGCCATCCTTACCCAGTACTCGTTTCCTAACGACAGCATTGCTTACTCGGTTGTTCCACGATATACGAGCAATGCTTTTAAGACATCTATGATCGAATACTAGTAACCTACGAACATCTACTCTTAACGGCCATGTTTCGCATCCATATAGGAGAACGGAGCGAACTGCTGCGCTGTTTTATAGGCAACAGTGCACATGGACTATACATATTTTGCTATAATTATTTTTACTTTGAAGTACAAAATTTTCAGAATGTCTATGCTTAGTGTAAATTCTTAGCATTTTTTACAAAATGCATTGTTTTTTTTTATCAGGAGAACATCCATAATTTTAATTAATACTTAAGTTAATAAGTTTTTTTTCTATCCGTTGTTTTGTTAAAGCATTAAATGACCTTTCAGATAATTTTATAATTCTGCATATTTTAGTGTATTTTTTTCTCAATTTCACGAAACCACATGACTTTAAAATAGTGCGATAAATATTTTTATAGAAAAGACTTGTTAATCCTCAGTTTGCTCATTATTAACACGTACTTTTCTTCTAAGTTGTTTCTCTTTTTCCATATTTCTTGTGAAGATTACTTTGTTGACGATGTGTATTTTGCTTGGGAAAAGAGTAATATTGTGATGATATATTGTGATAAAGTACTCGATTTACAACCACTACGCTCCGAGTTTCAAATTCTCTTTCTCACGATTTACCACCTACTTGTTCCAATCAATTGGTCAGCCATGAAAAACGTAGAGATTTACACAACAATCTAGCAATCCTTTGTTTATAACCTCAATTAACACATTAAGCAGAAAGTACTAACACGAACAAATGACAATGAGAAATGAAGGCATGTGATGAATAGATTCTTGTCACCAGTAAATTTCGAGTCATACTTGCCTACTTACTCAACATCTCCAACCAATTAATTACAGTTTTTATGCGAACATCAAATTGGATAGTCTCCATCGATTACATTGCAATTCGGCTATCGTTGATTTTATGAAATGATGTGTAACAGTATCTTGACTTATTTACTTCTAGATTTCTTTGTAACATGCTTCTCTACTTTCATACGTTTCATTTTAAACAAATTAATTTATAATAATACTTTTTTTAATTCCTTGTCTAGGTACAGACCTCCAGATATTTTGTTGGGTTCAACTGAATATTCTACTCACATTGATATGTGGGGTGTCGGTTGTATATTCTATGAAATGGCTACTGGCTGGCCACTTTTTCCTGGCTCCACCGTAGAAGAACAGTTAACATTGATTTTTAAACGATTAGGTAATGTAATTGACCATTGGATGATATTTGTTATTTCTATTGTTGTTATTGAATATGAATGTAGATCGCACATTTGTTGACAACAAACGTAAGATACGGACCACTACACAAAATTGCTCAATGGGATGAAAAATAGCTGAGCAAAGTGAAAGTCAAATGATATACCTAATGATGACTGATGCAAACTAAATGTTCCGCGAATACCAACACATCATGGGGAATCAAAAGAGGAAGGTAAAGAGAATACTCACACCAGAACACTTGACAATCGTGACAAAGGCTATTGAGATATAAAGCAAATAATACAGAGAACAAGAAACATCCTTCAAGAAAAACTAATTCTCATTTCAAAACTATCCACAGAAGAAAACAAACAATTGTGTGTCCGATCTGTCAAAAGAATCTCTGACGATTATAGAACGCCTCATGCCAAAAGGATTGAACTATAATATAAGTGACGCTTCAAAAGTCCAATTCTTTGATGCCTTAGAATCATCACTCAAAATCTCCGGAATAAATGAAGAAACTCAGGAGGAAATAAGACAAACCATAGTGTCATTAATGCAGATCATATGTACGCCATTATTTAATATGTATAAAGTGTATTCCTTTTTAGTGCACTTTTCATATGTCTAACAGTGTAGAATACGGGAAATGCTTGTGAGACGCCTAATCAACGCTTCTCGATTTTTTAATGGTTTTTCAAGCTCAGTGAACATAACATCATTGAAACTAATCACTGGAGCTGCAAATCTTTTCCTTCATTCTATATTCAGAGATTCACTTTTAAGATAGGTTAGAGACCTGTGTTAATTGTTTTCTAGTATGTTTCTTTGTATGCGTAGTTTTCTTTTGAATTAGCTGTTTGGAGGTCTAGAAATTACTCCTTCATTTACTACCTAGTTCCATAAATTGACTGCTTGGTAGGAAAACACGCATACCACGGAGATGTTATTTAATCTTGACTTTCAAACTCTCCTTTTGTGTTCTTCAAGTTGTCACTCAGTTGCATGGAAAAAGTTTTATGTCGGTCTCAAGTAGCATACCTCAGCATCCTGTACATGATTACTGTCTCTTAACGTTCAGGAATACGGTATGAAAGACTATCGTCAGAAGCCTACTGAATCTCTAGAAACGATTCTTTGTACTTTTCCCAAGAGAATTTAGTCACGTTTTAAAACAAAGGTTTGTTGTGAACTGTAGACAATTTTTAATTTGGTGTTTTTTCATTGTAGAATTTTGACTGATAAGTGACAATTGTTAAAAGACGTTGAGGTCTCTCACATATCAAACTTTTTGTCATATGATGAATATGTCATTGACATATTTTATACAATAATTACAAAATAGAAATAGACTAGTAAGTAGTATTAAAACCATGAATCGATCAATGTTATACCACCACTAGGAACCTGGAAGCACTGGACGGCTGTTTCGTCCTAGTATGAGACTTATCAGTAGTGTGCATTCACGATCACCGCACGCGAGTACGGAACCCAGAACATTCGGTCTTGTGCGCGAACGCTTGATCTCTAAATCATTGAGCCGGCCATCCAATTGTGTTAATGTCTAACTTCAAACAATCCACGCTATCACGTGACATTACCCATTGTTTCCAGTGGGCAGCTTGTTCATACACGATAGGGTCCGACTTCACTGGTCACGGCTTCTCAAGAAGCTAGATACTAGTGAGCACCTAATTTTTATTATAGGGTTGTGGAGATTGTCGCGTTTCATTGAAAACATGAAATAGTAATGTTTGCAGTAAACCTATCTGTTGAAACATCTACTTTAATCAATACAACATTTATTTGATTTTGATAAACATTATTCCAACTAATATTTACTGTATTAGTTATAATAAAAGTACTTGAACAGATATATTAGTCATGTGAGAGAAAACGTTCACATATACACATATATACGGCATAACCAATCATCTCTGAGGTCAACATAAGTCTAGAAATGAAAATTCACATAAGGTCAAATAAATGTTGATTTTTTGTAAATATTTCAATTTATCTACTAGACAGTGCTGTTTATGAACATTTGAATAACTTATCGAAATAATTTTCATCAATTAATATGTGAAAACTTAAACTCTAATTAGGAGCAACACTGACATGCATAGCCATTTATATCTTTTATGATGGAATTTTGTTTAGATTAGTTGTATTTGTAGGTGAATATTTGTTACGGATGAATCTTATAAGTATTATTATAAAGCTAGGAAGCAGCGCTAGATAACACTTTTCCATCATAGTATGAGACTTCTTAACAGTATGAGATTGCGATTCCTTTCTCATGAATCTATTACACACGGAAATCCTATACTTTCATTAGAATTGTCAAAAACACATCAGTCGATACGATCAATGAGTTATTTTGAAATAAACTTTGACAAACAAATATTTTAAAGTTGTCTGTCTGTTCTCTTCAATTGATATTATATAAATTTAAGTCCAGATGCTCTTAATGATTGATTTAATACTTCTAGAAAAGTATTTGTTCTCTCTACCTTTATTCTGATGAATTTGATTTGATTGGTTTAAAGTTATACATTTTCCTTTTATCGATTCGTTAAATCCCAATTCTACCTGGTTCTGGCTACGTCTGACAAATACAAATACATTCATTACCGTTGAACAAGTTAGTGACTATCTGGACTTTGGTAGCTTAGTCGATAATGTACCAGGACTTGAAGCGATAAACAGTGGACTCGGGTTGAACTGTGTGAATTTTAGTACTAGTATTCAAGTATATCCAGCCGAAGAGTTTCAAATGAAATGAAACTCCTTATTAAAACTTCTACTGTTAACCACAAATCAAATATACTAAAAACTTTAATTAAAAAAGATTATATCTAAGCTATTCTCTCAGGATGGAGATATCCAACGAAGACTGATCATTTACAGTCAGTCCTAAATATCATACACTAGGAAATTATAAACATTTACTAACTAACAATACTGAAATTTAATGTTTTCGACAATTACTTCTTGTCTTACTTTCTATCACTGCATACCGTACAACATTCAATTTAAAAAATACAATATATTTTAAATTTCATTTATTTGGCATTCATTAGACTCCATTTTTAACTGTAGTCAATTCATAATATCGTATAAACCGTATCTAATATTAATTATTAAAATATAAATATATTACAGAATGACAGAATTTAAACTAACTTATGTACATAGTTAGTCCCTACTATATTTACTTCCATATAATTTGTATTGGTTAGATTTATTTGATTCTAAGCAACTGGTGAGTTAGTAGCATGTTAACTGTGTTCACACAATAACAAATCTATATAAATGTAATTCAACTAAGTTTAATGTACACAGATATTAATGAGTAACAATTTTGAATAAAATTATTTTACTACTCTTTTTTTTTCACACTATCAAACATTGATATCACCACACAAGTTATTATTTCTGATATTTATTGATCAATTTATAATATACTGTATCCTGATGTAGTTATTTTTCGTTAAATTGTTCATGATTTATGAATTAGAGATTTATTATTATTATTATTATCATTGGCAAACTATTTATGTATGTATTAATCAATGATGTTATTCACAATTATTTGAATGAATGAATTTCTGGAAAGTAAACGGAATATCGATATTTTGTTATTTCTTCTTCTAATCTAATTTATTCATTACTTTGATGAGTTATAATTTATTTTATTAAAAACTCGTTTATTGTATCATCTACACTTATAATTTCATTTTATAGGCACTCCAAATGAAACGAATTGGCCTGGAGTTACAAGTCATCCAGATTATAGTAAATCGCTTAAATACGGTCCATATCCTGGTGAACCAGGCGGTCTTCCACATTTAACTCCACGTTTATCACGTCGTGCACATCGTTTGATGACAGAGTTGTTGGTTTTTCCTGGTATTCAACGAATCTCTGCTATGAACGCTTTGAAACATGAATATTTTGTTGATTCTTCCCGGTTTCCATTTCATACATTTAATAGTTTATCAGCAGCTTCAAGTGTATTCGATGTTCCAGGTGTACGATTAGCATGTGATCCTGGGCGTAGTGCTAGTCTACCGACAAATCGTATGAGTACTTCAAGTTATTTCTCTACAAATAATGGATATAATAATAATAATATTGTAAAATGTACAAATTCACAAGTAAAACTTAATCAGTATCAGTCACAATATGAAATGAATAATTTAATGAAACATCGAAGTAATCATGATTATTATGGAAATCCAATATCTAATTTATCAAATTGCAATAATGTCAAGGTGATGGTGTCTCAATTTCAAAATCATACTAATAATAATAACATTAATAATAATAATAATAATGGTAGTAATAATAACAATAATCATTTCTTTCCTAAATATTATCATGAAATCGGTAATACACATCCGCCGCCACCACCACCTCCGCATCAATCCATCTCATCGAATTCAATAAGTGCTTTACAAACATATTTTAATAACACTGCTGAGAATACTATTAATAATAATAAAAATCAATATCATCACCAATCAAATAGTGGTTTATTGCAACAGTATGCTGACAATAATAATAGTACATCTTGTCGACCATATTCAACAGCATTCGAATCAAATTATCCTTTCCCTTCTATGTCGAATTCAAGATCATATATCAATTCGAATTTTGTAATTAGTCCAACTAAATTCGCTGATCAATATCAAATGAAACCAAGCATGGAATCAACATCAGTAGGGCTAGATGTAACAACTAGCAAAACATCAACTAATCATAATAGTAATAATAATAATAATAATAATAATGCTACCACAGTTGTTTATAAACCTCAAACAGTAAACCGTTCTAACTGGTTAAATACTGGACGCCAATCTTCAGGTGAGACACAATATGTTATAATGCTCTTATTTTCAGATAAATTTTCACTCTGAATATAATGTTATCTATGATATCGATGCACATCACATTTTAGATTTATGAACAAATTTTGTGTTCTAGTAAGATTGAATTGTGGCTGGTAGATTCTGTCCTATTTGTGACTTGTCAGTTGAGTGAATTTATCTGTATGATCCTGATAATCACATTTGAAGTAAATGGGCATTGGGTTCAACTTTCAGTATAGGCATTACATATACATTGCTTCGTTGAAAAACCTTTTCACGACATACTGAGTATATAGAAATGAAATAAACTTCGTATACATAAAAATTTCAGATCTAAGAACTGATGAGACTACACTCTGATGGTTAAAATCGAGATAGTTGGACTGGATTTGGAACGTAACATAACTTATAAAAGATATAGGGTGACAGGTTAATGAATGATAAAACACGTTTAAGTTTGAACTCCACACTCTACCTACTATAGTTTGCACAGCTAGATAGAATTAGCAACCTTCATATAAACAGCATGGGTTATAACTTCATGTTATATATACATTTGCTGTTATTTGACAAATGAGTTACAATGATTCATAATCAATGTACAGTTTGGAATCAATAGATATTAGCTTAAAGTTTTATACCGTATTAACGCGATGAAATGAAATTAACGTTTATAACAAGATATATCAAATTAAAATAGCAGCAATAATAAAACGAAAGCCGTAATGGTTAAAGCGTTCAACGTTTAGCCACTAAGTCGTATATTCATGTGCTGTTCCATCAACTTCAGTTAGGAAAACCAGATAGTGTCACTAATCGTCATACTTAATTAGTTAGGCGACTGCTGAAATAAATGATGCGATCAGTACGAGACTGAGATTCCAGCAGATAGTCTAAAGTAAAAAAACATCCTGTACATATATGTATATTTTATTGCAGTATAATCTGTTTGAATCCATGCTTGAATTTTAGTCATGACAATGTTGAGGGCTGTGACACACCGCCTGTAGACCCTTTGGGGCTACTGCAGGTTCCAAGCCCGGATAAAAGAGGGTTCGCGACCCATCCCGCAAAAAATCTAACTCCCTGATAACATGCTAACAAGAAAAAATATTTCAAACCATTCAAACTCTGCTCTGGGAGTTTAAAGGTCTTTATTTAGAAGAGTTATGACGTCTCATGATGGAAGCCGAGTTCCTTCGGAAGTCACGAGGCCAATGCCCCTTCTGACATTCAGAGCCCTTCCACAGTCTCGGAAGCCGGGAAGTAACATCCGTCCTCATACTCATAAGACTACACGAGACCAAATCGATCAGAAAGCCTAACCAATGACTTCTTTAGGGTTGAAATGATGAATGTATCAACTGCAATGATATGACATTTCTGCTAATGGAGTACTATCATTCTGAAATTTCTTATTAACTGACTTTATCTTGTGTGCACTTCAATCATTATAAAGATCGCATGAAAACTGATGAGAATTCAACAAAATTAGAAGACTTAAAACTATTGATCAACATACAAACACAAAACTCTTTTTAGGGCATACAGGTTTAATTAATATTTGAACCTCGTGATAGTAATAGTAATAATAACTAGGATACACGACTTGATTAATTAGTTTTGTTCTTTTTGTCTAAATTTCAATAATTCACTGATACGAGACTGCTAATTTTGTTTGAAATTGAAGTCTCTTTTTCGATTTTATCCATGACCCAGTCACATTATATTTCATTTTTTCTGTTCAAGGTCGATTTGAAGATCGCCGGCGTAGTCTTTTCTCATGAGATTGCCCTACATTTGCAATATGCAAAAATACATACAAAGGAGACACGTTATATACGCGATAGGTGCTTTGAAATCGCTTCTCTTTCTTGCATACACACATCAGCTGGTCATGACGAAGACTAATTTGCAATTACCTTGTTTCTAACTTTTTCAGTTTTTTTTCTTATAAAAATGTACAGTCTTCCATGATGATGATTCCTAGGTGGTCTGTCAGTGGTAGACGAGTGAGATAACTAGTGATTTATTACTTCATTTACGATATGCATCACATGATCCTTTTATCTTATTGTTCTTCCGTTATTGTTTTCCCTTTGTTTTCTAAATAAAACTTATTTGTGACTTGCTTTTGACTTTTATCCATGCATTTTATTTTCCATAATGTTGAGTTATTCTGTCCTTTTTCAAAGAATATTTACATACATAAATAATGACCTTCTAGTGACAAGTTTTCATTTTCTACTCGATTACTACTAAATGTTGACGCAATACGTTTTTTCAACTTGTTTATTATCCATCTGAATATATAAATATTCTTTCAATGTTCAAAAAAAGCATTTCCCAAGTCCCTTAGTCATAGCTTGACTTTCCTTTCGTTGTTTGATGATGATTGTATCTTCCGAGTTGTTTCATTTATCTGTCTGTATCTATCTTTTTACATAAAAACAACAATAATAGGTAAATATATATACCAAACAATGTATAACGGCTGCCACGAAGTCATACAATTTCACCTAAATAAACAAAAAATCAAAGAACTTTTTTCAGTCTTCGTGCTTCTTTTTGCTGGCTAATTTTTGTCATTTGAGTGTGAAGTTTACCACATAACCGTTACAGATACTATTAGAGTATAGATAAAATAGTCGAAGCGACTCAATCCCAGTAAATCAGTCATTACTTTACCAGAAAATTTAAGTCATAATCGGCTACACATGAATCAATGATGTGTTGCGCTGAGTACTTCACCCGACAAATCAGCAGTACTACCTAGATTTCTTCTCTTAAAGTTAGCTTTTCTAGTCATTTGAAGAGGTTATTCACTTATCGATGGAATACTTGTTTTTTTCTGGTAAATCACAGCAAGTTGTTGCTGGATACAGGAATTGTATGGGAACTTGAACTGATGTACGTGCGTACGAAGTTCGATGTTGCTGTTGATTGATCGGATTCAGGAATAAATGGGATTGCATAAAATTTGGAGACAGACAGAAATATTGGATAAATACTAAAATGACTAGGTAGGATCTAGGGACGTATCATATGTGAATAATATTTCGTAATTCTCGATTCAGTGTTTCATGGCCGCGGTGTAGTTCACAGACAGAAACGTTTCGTCTGGGAAGTGACCAAGTATGCGACTATTAGGTCAGATATAAAACGTTCGTGTTCAATAGACAAGGTTTTCAGATACGATAAGAGGATGATAATGAAGTTCAGTGTAACTAAAGAAAGACCAACAACCTTTGTTGTTCTGATCGGAGACGAATAATGAATAGTTGCTGCTGCCAGGCGGAGAATCAGGGTGCTTTTGACGTACTGTTGAAAGCTGTGTTTCATTAGGTTAATATGTAGGCAAATAGCAGGCAAGAGTGATGCAACCACATATCTTGACGGCACAGTCCTATCAGTCCAGGTGCATTGCAACTGGCATATTACTGACAGCAATCTTCTACACTAACTGCAACAGCATAATGCTTACTGACCATAACATTACACCAGCATCTTACCATAAGCTGTCGGCCGATAGGTTTTTGCGTCTAAGCTGCCTAATCAATGTTACTCGAGATTGAAATCGGAATCAAAAATTTGGAGAAATCACCGACTTTGAAGGTCGGTCTTTATTGTTTTTTCAACGTACACAATCAATCCCTAAGATACACAGCATCGCAACTGCTTTCTGAGTAGTTCATTTTTACGTAAGAGGCCTCAGACTTTCTCCTTAAATTGAGCTTTTGTGATGTCATGTGTTCGAACCCTATTTACTCAGTGAAGTTAGAAGAAATAGGACTGTTCCATAAATATTATTCACTGTGGCTAGAATCCGTAACAGCAACTACAATCCATTACGCCGTGACCACTCTCCTTCATCTATTTACGAAACGAAAGCTCCTATGGGTTACTTTTGGTCTCGTTAATCACCCTTCAAAACAACAGCAGCTTTTAATGTACGGACATTGTGTTAAATAGGTTAACAGGCTTCCTTAGCTAGGACTCTAGAATCTCGTGCCAAAGATGTATGCTGTGTCTCGGAAACGCGCATACAGGATCCTAATAAAATTATTAATCTGATTTCACCTTGTCAAAATAAAGAAGCAGCTCAATTTACTCTTCGTGTATCCGGTAGCCCTGATGCTGCTTCCAGGGGTCTTGCTGGCGTAGGCATAGCATTGAGTCGTAGAGCTGAACAATCTCTCCTAGACTGGATCCCAGTAGATAGTCTGACTAAACGGGACAGTAAGGACTCGTAAAGATAGGGACACTCGCCGTTGCCTGTTCGTCGTATCTGCCTATGCCCCCACTAACTGAAGTTCAGACGAGGTGAAAGACGAGTTTTTCAGAAAGCTTTCGGACCTCCTCCAAAACGCTAGGCACTCTGATATAGTAATAATGGCTGGTGACTTTAATGCTCAAGTAGGTGGACCAAGTGAAAATGAAAGATACCTAGGTGGATGTTATGGTGTCACAGCTCAGAGAACAGACAATGGCGACCGTCTGTCGCAACTATGCTCAGATAACCGCCTATTCTTAGCAAACACTAACTTTAGGCATAGGGAAAAACATCTGTTGACCTGGCGTCACAACTAGATCACATCGCCATCAGCCACCGATGGAGGGGCTCGATAGAGGACTGTCGCTCGTTTCGGAGCACATGTTTAGATTCGGATCATGCCCTAGTGCGAGCGCTTATCTGTTTGAGGCTTACTGGACGTAGGAAAGACACCGCAAGGAAGCCTCTTAAGGTTTTACTTAATGATAATAAAGCGAAGAATATATTCCAGGAACAACTAGAAAGAGATTTAAGCAACCATGTGAGCTATTCCCGTCCGGAGGCAGTTTGGAATAATATCCAAAAGGCTGTGGAAACAGCAGTGATATCTGCTAGTAAGGTAAACCATAAGGCTAGGATGAAGCCGTGGATCTCAGTAGCATCTACCGAACTGATGGATGCTCGAAAACTCATCCCGCCTGGCTCTGAGGAGCGGAGTCCTGGAACACAGACACACATTTAGGCGTCCTACAATAGTTGTGTTCCTGGACCTTAAGGTGGCATTCGACTCAGTGGATCGTGAGGTTCTGTGGCAGTGTCTGTCATTGAAAGGTGTACCAAAGAAGTACATTAACCTCATTGAAGCTCTCTACTCGAACACCACTGGTCGAATGAGAGCTTATGGCGAACTCTCAACGGGATTCTTTACTTCAAGTGGTGTCCGTCAGGGATGTCCACTCTCTCAATTCTTGTTTAATTTTATCACTGACATGCTGCTAGAAATAACCTTATCCTCGTCTGAATTTTCAGGAGTAGACCTTCTACCAGGTGGCTCGCTTATTGACCTAGAATATGCCGATGACATAGTCCTACTTGGTGAAGACGCTGACAAAATGCAGTCTTCTGACTACCCTAAGCAACAATGCAAGCATGTTCGAGATGCAGATTTCTCCCTCGAAATGCGAAATGTTGTTTCAAGACTGGGTTGCATCGACACCTGAACTACTAAATAGAGAGTGAAGTGGTTGAGCGTGTTGACCACATCACTTATATCAGGAGTCTCATCAGTGCTGATGGCCTGGTATCTGACGAAATCTCAGCACTGATGCAGAAAGATCGATTGGCTTTTGCCAAGTTGCGTGACCTGTGGTGCAGGCGAGATACCCGTTTGCTAATCAAAGGTCGAGTCTACTTTGCGGCAGTTCGCTCCGTCTTGCTTTATGGCTGTGAAACATGGCCAGTCAGAGTAGAAGATATTCGTAGGGTACTGGTTTTCGATCATAGATGTCTTAGAAGCATTGCTCGTGTATCCTGGGACACCCAAGTGAGCAACGCTGTTATTAGGAAGCGAGTTCTAGGTAAGGATGGTAGATCAATTGACGAAGTATTGACACTTCATCAGTTGAGGTGGTTTGGACATGTGTTACGAATGCCCAACCACCGATTGCCTCGACGAGCCATGTTTTGTGGTGCAGTAGTAGGTTGGATGAGACCTAGGGGCGGTCAAACCGAAACGTGACACAAATCCATGAAGTCACTGGCAAGTGAACTGAGTCATGTCGGTGGGAATGGACTACCCGCTTGGGGTCCGCGAGATGATAATAATCGATGGTTAGAGACCTTGAATGACATGGCGCAAAACCGTTTGCAATGGCGCCGGTGCATTTATTCTTTGTGTTCTCTCAAACCCTAATCTTTTGGATTCTTCAACAACTCTAGTTTTGTCTTTCCAGACTTTTCTCATAGGATCATACTTCTGGAATAATATCTTCTAATCCTAACCCCTCCGATTACTTCTAATAGCTTTACAACCCCATCTACTATTGGATTGAATTGACAATTATATCTCCAACCGATGTGGTATGGCAACATGTACTGATGTACTTGCGTAGGAAGTACTACGTAGCATCTGACTAACTGACCCTTATTCAAACAATCGTCTCTCCTAGTCACGCACTGAATACTCCAGCTGAGTGGAATACTAAAGTTGTGTGGTAGGGAGTAATAGACTACCGACGCTTCTGATTGCTCTGCACATTAAGAAAAGGTCATATTTCCCTGTATACCTCATTCATTGAGATTTTACAAACGACCATATCAAGATCTTAATACCGTTGCTCTACACATATCGACATAATATCCTCATCTCATAGTTCACACAACCTACTATGAAATAATAACATGCGTGTCAAAAGACGAAATTGATGCCCGAAGACATATTACTTAACAATATTTTGTGTAGCCACTGAATACCACTATAATTTTCAAGCTACGTGGTGGTTAAGCTTCCAAAGTTCTAAGAACTCAGGTACATAAACTAACAAATGTACCACGATTTTAGAGATTATGCAGTCGAAAAAACGTGTTTTAAAAATGAAAATGTTATATTTGGCATAGATTTTATTTAGAAGAGTTTGATGGTAGGACAACGAGGTCTGAAACAAGTTTTTAAGAATCAAAGAAATGTATAAACAAAAATTTAGAAACTGAATACGAAACTTCGGTTAAAGCAAGTCAACAATTTCCGACGTCTCGCAATTTCATGTAACCTATTACGGCGGTTCTCCATGTAGCTACAAACCTGCTTCGCAGTTTCGTGCCAGATTCGAGATTTCATCGAATAGCTTCCAGCGCAAGCATTCAATTAATTCGACATCTCGGATAGCTTACAATATATATCCGCCAGTAGTTTTGTATCATTTCGAACAATAAGGTGAGACTAAAAGGAACAACATATGAAAAAGCTAAAATGAAAATACTCCGCAATCTGGTTTATCAACAGCAGCAGTCCTAGACATTCGGATTTTGAGTTATAGTCGTAATATCAGCATGATTTATGATAAATAACCTTACATTACCCGACTTATGGTGTTGCACGACACGAAACTACACTATCGGAAGTATGGATTTCGAGACAAGCGTTGGTACTGGAAACAACACTTAGCGAGATAGTAGAATATCATTAAGAATTACCATGACATGACTACTCTGGCTGAAACGACCACCGAAGGACAGTGCCGGTGAGCCCTCAAAGATGTTTAGACGAGATGCGACCACTACCACACTAAAGAATGTTATCATGACATGATCTATCATCTAAGTCCCAATTATCAGTTACATTACTCAAACCGCGAAATAGCGACGAACTGTATGGCAATCAAGGTATCCGGAGTCTTAGGTATATGCAGTATGTCCCGGTGGATCCTATCACAGCCTGTCGAGCAGCACTGCCAAACAGAATTAATGGTTTAGCAGGAACACAAACTGCCAGTTACTGGCATATATTTAAAACTAGGATATCTCTCTGGCAACCGAACCATGCACTCTTTGACGTAGACATATGTCGACAAAAGTTGACTGTAGTCATCACACAAACAAGTGATAAATAACCGTGCTAAGTTAGGGTTTACCCGGTTAACAGAAAATGGCCGGAACACCTCAGACCATTCGCTATGCTGTCCAATAACATGTGTCAGAGCTATTGAAATTTAGTCAGTCCACCTGTGAACTAGATTATTATTCTCGACTTCACACCCCAGCCACTGATGCACTTCAATCGTAAGAATAAGTAGCAGTCCACTACTGGAGATACTGAGACACATCCTATGCAGTTGAAAGACTTCCATAGGCGATACGGAATAACACCACTAGGTACAGAAACTTCACAAAGAAAGATATGTCTTGGTAGCCGTGAGGTATAAACTCAGGAACGACGCATGACCCAAGAGAAGTGAACTGTTAGGAAACCTCAAATAGTGAGATGAATAGTGTAAACAACACTTTGAATAGAAATTGAATTGTAACGAGCTAAAAAATTTTGGTTTCCTTTGTGTGCTTTGACCTAATTGCCAGAAGTCGCACAGCTGCCTAGGTATACGAATAGAAAAAGCTATAACCCGGAAATTACTGCAAACTTTTCACGGGGTACCACTGCCGTGAACTGTATATGGAAAAGCATTCTAGAGGACTGATTTGAAGTTCACAGTTCGAACATTGTTTTGTGTAAGACTGTTATTGAGGCTTAAGGTAAGTGCAATCACGGTTCAATCCTAGCATGGTGCCATGAAGACTTTTAAAACCAGTCAGTATGGAAATCAGTAGAGAAAAATGGGTAAGGGAACAAACTACATGAACTTACCTGGTTGGCCTTCGCACGGAGCAGAATAGCCTCTAATGATCTCATCCTGAAAATACAATGAATTCACTAAACTTCGATTAAAGTCTTCTATTTATCAAGTCCCGCACGTATCACTCGAACAGACGCGTTTTGAATCCTTTCGCAAATTCATGCAGTGATTTGTTTTTAATAGATAAGCTGCTCTAGTTAGCTGCACTTACTTATTCCCACAGCTTTGTAGATTCGGTGAAGTACCTCACACTAACTTAGCAACATGCTCAAACAAACACAAACGAGCTAACAAAACGTTTCGAAGTCATTTGGTCAATGCTGAGGTTTGAGAAAACCACGGACGGCCTGTTATTTGCTGCACTATACCCACGACAAGGTTAAATGTATGAGGTCCTGACCTAAGATATGTCATTATTACTCATTCCAACCATAAGCCCAAAACTCAGCCTAGCAGAAAAATCAAAAGCCTCTTGACAAACGTAACGGGAAAAGTTTATGAAGCTTATATTTTAGTTTAATGCATTTGCCACATTGTGAGGGGCGGTGTTGACGAGTACCGGGGCACTACGACTTTGAACATCATCTCACACGAACTTCTTTTACGCCTCCACATTGCATCGACTCGCTATATGGCCATAACCATGGCATTTATAGCATTGGGGACCAGAACCTCCACTCTCCGTACAGTCTCTTGCGAAGTGACCATATTTATTACATCTAAAGCAAAGTTACAATACATCACATCGATTCAATACCTGTAGCACAGTGTGTCGCTCATATCATTTCTGTTATTATTTGGGCAGTTTCGAACGATGTGACCTGACTCACCACAGTTGTAACAACGACCACCACCACCACCGCCTCCACCATTATAGCCACTATCACCACCTCGCTGTCCATCATTCGTACAATCTCGCGCAAAGTGTCCCGTCCCACCACAGTTGTAACATTTGTCTACAATATACAAACAAATACTTAGGCATACTCAGTTGCAACATTGTGATCGCAAAACAATCTACACTTATCACACAACTAACAACACTCCTTCTGACACATCAATAACTACACAAGATGCCCAGACGTGCACTCAGATATTACGCAGAACGCATCAAACTCACCGCGACCACCATAGCCCCCGTAACCACCTCCACCACCACCATAATGTCCACGACCACTGGTACAATCACGAGCATAATGATCAAGCCCACCGCAGTTGAAGCAGCCGTCTGCAAACATAAAAAACTAAGCGTGCGCAACTGATTCCATAGCTATGATACATGTCCAAGTGTCATATAATTTAATACTTTAATAAATTTACCACACAGTCATCAAAAAGAACACAGGAAATATACTCACCACGACGACCATCGTTATTGTCTCGATCTCTTCCACCGCCACCACCTCGTCCTCCACGATAGCCACCTCCTCCGCCTCTACCACCACCTCTTGGGGCAGCTTGGCAATCGCGTGCATAATGACCGGGACGTCCACATTTGTAACAATCGTCTGACATTCTGAACTGAAACCAACAGACCGTGCGCCTCAAGCTGTCAACACACCACTGGGACCTAACGGTTGACAGGAAACGGGTTCACTAGTATGCGAACAAACAAAACAAAATGGTAGTCAGCCCTTGACCACTTGGTGTCATATGAAATGTAGTTTCTGTTTTAAGCTTTTTCAAGTAAAATTATCAACTGCCCAATATATATGCAACCGAGTTATCATCTAAAGAAAGAATGTATGTTCACTTTGAGCAGATAACGAGAAAACGAATCGAGCTGGAAATATGAGTATGTTCTACTGCTGATGGTGATCACCAAAAAGGAATTCACTAACTACACTGACGCATCGTTTAATAAACCAATGTTTTTCACTAATGGAATTCTTTCGGTTGATGAGCCTGTTAAACTCCCTACCTTTTTACAAACAAATGGTCCACTTTTAGCAGGTTTCAATCCAAAGCGTGGCTCTCTAAGGCCTAAAAAACCTTCAAATGATCATGTTTTTAAGGCTATAGATCAACATCTGATATCCGTTCATTAAAAATTTCAGGTTGACCAGTATGGTCATTTTGGCTCTGAAAATATTCATCTTGGACTAGCTAATCAATCTTTAAGGATCATGTTAACCGGGTTAACAAACGAGCGACATTTCCAGAAAAACCATATTTTATATATTTTGATCCAGCAACTCAGTAACAGTAAGTGAATCCACAAAATAAATAACTTCATTGGACTTTGCCGTTAATGCTGGCCTCATCAGTTTTGCCGAAATTACGAAGTGATGTACACCCGTGTCATCATCAAATCCACTAATTTATGAAGACGGATTACCATAAAATGACATCAACTGGTAGTGATAGTGTGGCAGTTGTAAGTAGGTGGGCATGGGATGAATCGTCACTACAGATCTAGGTTTAGATAGGATCTGTGAAGTGATCCAAGTTAATATTGTAATTAAGAAGCTGCATACAAATTCATCAACATTATGAAGAGAGAATGTTGTGTACACTACGCAGATAAATTCCATGGGGCTAGAGTTTGAGCTATAGGCGATTCCTGGGTGTGAAAATTTACGGAATATAACTACGGGCAATGTAACTAACAATTTATCAATACTAACGTCGATGTAAATTAGTTCCTGTTACATTTACCTTGTGAACACTAAATATTAAACTAACTGCTGATTTGTACAAGTAGTCATATATGTTTTGAAGGCGCTAAATGATGATTTTCGTTTATATTTTACTGTACACTGAGGCAGCTGATAAATGTGCTTACATCGTATATCAAAGGAGTTGAAAACGTTCATAGTAATATTTCCTGTTTTTGGCGCAAATCCCTCCATATTGTGTTCGTTCAGAAAACCGCAGTTCGTAGTTGGAATTCGGAATCAGTGGAAATATCTAACGGAGGTACGGGTTACATATGTGTTTAGTATTATCACTTCAACGGTTATAATTAATACCGAGCCAATATTTTGAACCCGAAAGACATTATCTTGTGAGCTTTCGTAAAGACTGTGGCAGATGAACAAACAGAAGCCACCATCAAGACGATATACCAAGGATTAGAAATAAAGTGATTCATAAATTTGTTGGAAACATATTGGCAAAAGAAGCTGGGATCATATGAGGAGAACATGCTTAATTCTACTCGAAATTCATATTCGTAGGAATCAATCAACTGTGGGAAAGCCAAGCGTCTCCGATCCTCAACGATTCTCCAGGTTTGACGTCGCGGCCGGTATACTAAATTTCAAACGAAGAATGAAATGAGGTGTGCTTAATTGTCTTCAAATGTCAAGACTGGGATCAATGAACGAACCATGATACCAAGCCTTTCATTCAACAATTACAAGTTCAGTTCGTGAAAGATAAAATATTGGCAGGATATCAGTTAAGATAGTCTAGATAGAAAAAATTAGAATATATTTCACAAACACTTAAATTTTCTTAGTAACTAGGACCTCCAGCCATGAACTGAAAATTCCAGACATAAAAATAACGAACAGAGCCATTATATAAACACTAGGGCCTGGAGTGAAGTCACAAAGTGGTTAACCTTTGACTGTCGCCATATAGACAACTGTCTAATCCATTGGTGTACATCCTTCTGATAGTCAGTTCATATGCATCTAGTATATATTAGTTTTGTAGTATGCTTCGAGCTAGGGTGACTTAAAGCATGGAAATTATCAAATATTAATTTTCGTATAAATTCCGGAACAAAAAGTCAGGGTCTCGCTTTGCTTGTGTTGCAGTAGACCGAACTACCTTTAGTTGTAATGGAAGCTGCCTCGATTTCAGACTAGAGTTCTGAAATGAAAGTAGATTTTATTACTCTTGGTCCGCTTTCTGACTGTCGGCTTAAGCTGCTAAATTCATAATCCGCTGTTGAAATATGTTCATTTTTAACCAACATAATACCTTTGCTGCGTGACTGCTGACGTTTTACATGTCGTATGTCACTGGTTAGCTGAGATATAAGTCGATCTTTTGAGGCGGATATTGATCGGCCTTAGCTTTCAATCCATTAGTCAGTGGTTTACGATATGCCTAAACTATAAATCCCTTGCTTGCCAACACGTGTCTTAAATGGTAGGTAGATTGTGCGAAGTTCTCGCCCGAAGGTAGGGCATCTCGTCTCTAACGAAGCGAGACTTTTTGAGAAGAATACAGTATGTTGCCATGAGTTTTTAACCAGCCGATTAGAGATGAGACACTGCTTTTTCTGAAGGATCATTAGAGCGAGCGGTGGATCAACGTTTGGATACGTAAACATAGATGTTTGGGCTAGCTAATTCTTTAGTTCTTCGATAACTTCGATAGCCTCAAAAGTTTTCCCCCAAGGAATTGTACCAGTTTACACAACTGAACAAAGGTTAATAAAACCTAGAAAGCATCAAGTTGCGTTAAGTAACTTGCCATGGGGTACTTCCCAATTGTCTCTCTCTCCATCTATATCGGTGAAATTTCTTCAGGAATTGTTGCATATGGGAGAAATTCTAACTTCTGGACTCCGAAAACACATTTACTTGGATGTATGTTTGTTTCACTCTCACCTAACTTTTTTAGTACAACTCTCCTGTATTTTCCATTCCACGTTAATTCCGGACTGCGATTAGCAAATCGTCTGCATATCCTCGCGCAAGAGATGTATCTGCAGGTTGACTGTCCATAAATTTTTGAATTGTTTGCGTACCTATCTTGTCTGGCTTGATGATTGAGGTCTCTGATTTGCCTACATGGTCTGACTAGGACGTGAGAATGAGGTCACTTATATATCCAGCGTGGAATCCGAAGGTGATGTAGGGACCTCGCTAGAAGGTTGTATGTGTTTGGCATTGGATCTCGGTTCAACGGGTTCGGCACTGTCATCGACGTGTGCTGGTTTGAGCTCCCAAAGTTCTAAGAACTCAGGTACATAAACTAACAAATGTACCACGATTTTAGAGATTATGCAGTCGAAAAAACGTGTTTTAAAAATGAAAATGTTATATTTGGCATAGATTTTATTTAGAAGAGTTTGATGGTAGGACAACGAGGTCTGAAACAAGTTTTTAAGAATCAAAGAAATGTATAAACAAAAATTTAGAAACTGAATACGAAACTTCGGTTAAAGCAAGTCAACAATTTCCGACGTCTCGCAATTTCATGTAACCTATTACGGCGGTTCTCCATGTAGCTACAAACCTGCTTCGCAGTTTCGTGCCAGATTCGAGATTTCATCGAATAGCTTCCAGCGCAAGCATTCAATTAATTCGACATCTCGGATAGCTTACAATATATATCCGCCAGTAGTTTTGTATCATTTCGAACAATAAGGTGAGACTAAAAGGAACAACATATGAAAAAGCTAAAATGAAAATACTCCGCAATCTGGTTTATCAACAGCAGCAGTCCTAGACATTCGGATTTTGAGTTATAGTCGTAATATCAGCATGATTTATGATAAATAACCTTACATTACCCGACTTATGGTGTTGCACGACACGAAACTACACTATCGGAAGTATGGATTTCGAGACAAGCGTTGGTACTGGAAACAACACTTAGCGAGATAGTAGAATATCATTAAGAATTACCATGACATGACTACTCTGGCTGAAACGACCACCGAAGGACAGTGCCGGTGAGCCCTCAAAGATGTTTAGACGAGATGCGACCACTACCACACTAAAGAATGTTATCATGACATGATCTATCATCTAAGTCCCAATTATCAGTTACATTACTCAAACCGCGAAATAGCGACGAATTGTATCTGTAGGTTGTCTGTCCATAAATTTTTGAATTGTTTGTGTACCTATCTTTTCTGGCTTGTTCACTGAGGTCTCTGAGTTGCCTACATGGTCTCCGGTCACACTCGTTTTTTCGTTGAAACCATGCGCAGATTTGATGTTCGTTGGCTCGTCGAGGGGCGGATAATGTCCAACTGTATTCAAATGTAGTCAACTTCAGCTTTAGTGATCGTATACTTACCATTTGATAGCCTTCTGGGCCTCGCACGTGTACCTTCGGTTTTGATTGTATGACCATTATCTAGCCTACATTTAGTAGGTCTTGGTTTACATTTGGTTAGGTTTGAAAATTCCACAATTATGTCCCAAACTTCACAGTTTTTACTAGTGGAGTTTTTACTAAATTTAGGGAAATAATGTCCTGTGAAGTTTTCGAATACGATATATGTTTGTAACCTTGAACTGGTCTCAGTTCCTACAAAAAGTCCTATTACAATCAGATCCAGACAATGAAGTTAAAAAGTGGCTGATTAGTGACTTTGCGAGCTACTGCAATAAAAGGCAGTAAATGAAATATCACCAAAGCATCAAATCACTATGCCTTCATCATTATATTCCGTAAATCAACAGAATTTCAAACATTTTGGCTCCTTGTAATACCATCTGTTCACAAGATTATTTGCTCATTCGTTATGTTACTAGTGACTTGTCTTCATTAAAATACATAAAAGCAGGTGTACAGTTAGTGTTATAATACGGAAAAAGAAA